AACCTCAAAATATTACTTTTCAATTTGGCACATAATAAACATTAGTAATCAATTTATGACCACCATCTTTACAGGATATCAGAATCATACCTATCCCTTCAATTTGGAATTGAGGTATTTCCAAAAGACACATTACCTTTTTCGGTCTTATTTATCTCCACAAATTCATCTTTGTGGCCACACATATGATTTGTTGCTCCATTGTCAAGATATCATGAGCTGCAATCATCTTTATCCTTTTCTTTGAGTGTTAATAAGAATGTTGCTCATCTTCATCTTTGTTGTTGTCAACAAGATTAACTTTCTCTTCAACATTACTCTGACATTCCCAAGAGTAATGTCCCATTTTATGGCAGTTATAACACTTAGATTTGTCATACCTCATTTCATTTGTATGTTGATAGGATCCACGTACTTTGCCTCCTCGTTGACCACGACCACGACCTCTGAATGACTGGTGACCTTTATCTTCATTGTTGAAATGATTGGTATAACTTCTTCCTATTCCAATACCTCCAAGGCCTCGCCATTGTCCATTTCCTTTGTAACTTTTGTAACCTTCAAATCCTTTGAAGGATGTATGAGTTTAAGAAGTTGCTCTAGTGGCTCTTCTTTTCTCCTTTTCATTTTCTCTTCATAGGCTAGTAAAGAACCTTCCAATTGTTCTACCGTCATAGAGTCTAATTCTTTAGACTCCTCAATAGCACACACCACATAATCAAATTTAGATGTTAATGACGAAGGATCTTTTCTGCCGTACGCACATCATCTACTTCCTCCCCGTATCTTCTTAGTTAATTTATAAGAACCATCAATCTTTAGCAGAAATCCAAAATTGATTCGAATTTTATTATTTTTAAAACTTCAAAGTTAGCCCTTAGAGTTTGAAGTTTTACATTCTTTACTATATCAACTCCTTGGAGAGAAATTTGTAAAATCTCCCACGCTTCTTTTGAGGTGGTTGCCTCCTCTACAACATCATACCAAGATACGGTAGATCTCCAGCACTCTAACATGATTCCTAAACCACCTACCCCTCAAAACTTAACAAATCCAAACAGTGATGGATAAGAGTGAGGGCCTGTTAATCTTTCTTTCTTGTCTTTAACAAGACCTCTTTTTCATTTGAGGGAAAAGTTTCCTCATTTGCGGGTTTTGTATACCCTTTGTCTACAATATCCCAAACATGTTGATAGCCAAGAATGACTTTCATTCGTAGACATCATTTTTCATAATTTTCTCTTGTGAGACATGGGTGCTGAAAGGACTACGGACTACTATTCGTCATGACTCTGATACCACGTTGTTGGGAAAAATGATAATCACACCCATGATAATGTCCAAACTAAATATCAATAGGAAGAGAGTAATAACGACACCAAATATAAAATGGGAAATATGATACCTGAATATGTAATGCAATAATCTTGATGAAAAACTTGGTAGTGTCAAAAGACTACTACTCAACACTCTTTTATTTCTTAAAACTCAAAATAATATTACTTCCACACTATTTTCTCACAACAAAGAAGTAGTGTGTGGATTACTCTCTCTATTCTCTATTGCTTCTCTATTTTGATGTGTCTTCAAGTGTTCATTTACAACTCTATTATAGATTTTTTTTGAAGACTTGATTACATCATTAATGGCATAATGTGGTAGCCAATTTCCACAAAAAAATTGGCTGCCAAACTCTACCAAACTTTGACTACATACTTCCACAAATGTGGATACC